TGGACAAATTATCTAGGCAACAAACCAACAGAGGAACAGTTAATCTATCAGATGGAGAGAACAAATCTATGGTTATTAGAGAGAGGACGGGGTGAGGAAGGGGGAAAGGGCAGAGGAAGAGGGGGAGAGGAAGAGGAGAGATTGGATAAGGGACATAAAGAATAAGTATGATCTGTAACAATGAATATGCTAATAAAAAACTAAAAAAATAACAAAACAGTTGTTCATAACACTGGGGATATAAAACTCAAAATTCTATCTATATAGCATTCTTTTTTCTTATTATGAAAAGCACTAATTGATTATTACAGGAAAATCTGGAAAAAGTAGAAAAGTAGAGAAGAAAATAAAAATTCCCCATTTGCTTCAATCTCATCACCATCCCTGATACATGTTTACCTGTTCCCTAGTTTCTGATCTCTTACCTGGTTCCTCTTGCTAGGTTCTGTGACATTTCTGGTGACTATCTAGGTTAAAGGTATAGACTCATTTTACATTTAAGCTGAATGAGAGCCAGCATGTTTACAGAAAGCCTAGGCAAACTGCAACTGATAAAGATTCTCCAGGGGTACAAGCTTTGTGCTATATATAACTTCCCTGTGCCACCAAAACATTTTATTAATAGCTCCACCAGGGTACTTAGAGCACAGCCTTATAATTATCTGCCGGATTAAAATAACCCATGGGTTAGAGTAGAACTCAAGTATAAAACCCAAACTCTGGGGTTTCAATGGCATACTATGGCCAAGGTTTTGGGCATAACTTTTGCTGTTGCTTCTGTCTTTCCCATCTAGGAAGGGAGCACCAGACAGCAGAGGGAGATCTCCTATATGCTACCATCCTTAGCACTAGCAGGTGTTCAGTAAATGCTGAACAAATTTTTTATTTTTCTTTTTAAATTCAACTCTGAATCAAGTTTTGGTCATTACTACAGAGAATTTGGTTCACTCACTAAATAGTATTCAAGCAAAAGATTTGTCAAGTGCCTACTCTTTAAAATAAAGATCATTGACTTTAAAAACTACTTTTGGAAGTTTCAGGTAAAGTAAAAACAACAACAAAAACAAAAAAAAAAACCCAGACATACAAGTGGTCTTCCAAAAGTTCATAGAAAGATTTGTATTATCTTTTAATTCTATTTTTTGATGAACTTTTGAAGTACCCTCATGTGACTGGAAAGGAAAGATCCAAAGAAGTTCAAGGAAAAAAAAGTATTTCAGAAGTAGATAAGGAAGCTTTGTAAAGTCAGATGACTGAACGAAGTCATTACCTTGGGAAACATTTTAAGTCTTGGAACAAGTAGCTACAAGAGAATTCTTCAATTATAGGAAACTGAAGAACTGAGTTATATAGACACAGATGTAAGTGATGATAGATTTATTTCTGTAAGTGAAGAGTTCCCTGCAGAAGACACAAACCATCTTGAATATGCAGTTGAATGTAGTATCAAATTGGTGGAGCTTAGTTCTTTCACAATAATTACTGAACTACAAAGATGACAACCCAGTATCGAGAATAAGAGGGAAATAACGAAGAAGCTGTTTGTTGCTTTGGTCAGAAACTTAAATGGTCAAATAAAGACAAAGTGGCTAGATGGGGAGACCATTAAAGTAACATAAATACTGAACGAGGTACAAGGTGTGGAAAAAGAAACAATTTTATTTGGAAAGAAAAGATTCAAAAACATATATATTTGTATGTACATGCGGTCAAAAAAGAAATTATTTCTCTAAACCAAGAATTGAAGAGGGAGAAAAAACAATTGAGGCATCTGAAGAAGCAAATGAATGAAATAAATTGCGGATGCACACATTCTCAAAAACACTGATCATTAGAAAAAGAAATCTTTCACTAGAAACGCTGCTTCCAGAGGGGAGTGAAGTTAACATGTGGAAAAGCAAAGCTATTAACAGAACAAACACCAGTTCTGAAATATAGTTTGTAGAAACAGCGTCATACAAAATAAAGGGGGAGAAAAGGTATATAATTTTTTAAAACACTGAAAAGGTTATATTTGAGTGCACATATATCTAAAAAAGACACTAAACTTCAACCTTTGGTATCTCTAGAAATGGACTCCTGGGGGCTTTCTCTATTTACTTGGCATGTATTTTAATCCAGTTAATTATAATACAACTTGACTAAAAAGTTTTTTAAGAAAAAGTATTACAGTACAGAGTGTTAAGTGCAGTGCTGTGTAAGTGCAAAGACAGCCATGAGCATATGGAAAGTGCCGAGGAAGAGCACCGATGGGGGTGGGTTAATCTTCCTAGGGATGATAGGAGCGCAAAATAAAGGAGAGGTAGAGCATTACGACTATAATAATACTGTAGTTAAGTAAAGCATGAATGCCAGTCATTACGTCGCCACCCCATCCCAGCAAACTCCCTACTAGGTCAGTCTGTGAGTGGACCTTGTCTAGACTGCCTTGACTCTAAGTTACCTGTGGAGGTAACTTTGACTGGTCCCCAACCACATTGTGAGGTTATGGGGACAGGAACCAAGTTTAGATCCACCTCTGTGTCCTCAGCACCCAGAACTCTGCTTGGCCCAGAGGAGCTCAGTAAGTGTTGATAGGATTATACCGAATTCAAGGCAAGGAGGCATTTGAGTCCGTAAACACGAATTTAATTAGCCCTTAGGGCTCTACAAAGAAGAAATAATCAGAGTTCACGAGCTTCCCTATCCCCAAACGGAGTCCATTCCTGGGATTTAAAAGAGCGACATGCCTCGGAGTGTTGTGGTTGAGTCCCCAGGAGGCTCGAGGAAGGGACCAAGGGTCGAAAACAGGAGACGCAATCCTTTTCTGCAGGATTGAGGAACAGTACCCTGACGTCCCCGGAGCCCAAGGCACACAAGCCTGGGTGTTGGGGGTCGGGAGCAGTGAAGCGAGCAAGGTTCTCTGCCTACTCACGCAGGAGCAGCTGCCAACTCTTTCCACTGGATCTCTGCACGGAATGACACCCTCCCTCGCCGGACACACTCGGACCTGCCACTCCGGAAAACCAGACTGGGAAATGCTCCCGACAGGACGAGGAACTGGGGCAGAGCGTCGCATGCATCAGGAGGCGGCCTCCCCAGCCCGCGTCCTGTAACCTCTTCCTGCTAAGCCCCTATCCGCCTCCTCCACGCCGCCCTCCAGTTGACCCGCCGCCCACAGGAGGCGTCTGGGTTGGAGAATGTAGTCTGCGGAATTCCCCGTTCCAGCACAGAACAAATTCGCACAGGGCCACGCGCGTCTCTCCAGACGGTAAAATCCCCCTGGTGTGGCCAAAGAGCCCACTCAGCGCTAGGGGGAATTACGTACAGCCCGCGGGCCACCAAGACTGAGTACGGGCGGTTGCTGAGCCCCACCGCTACCCGGGGACGCCCAGGGGGCCAAACCTACTTCCTTAGGCTCCTTGCCAAAGTTCCAAAAGCTGCCCACAACCCCCCCCCGCCCCCATCCCGCGGTGGCCCAGGACTCCCACGGCGGCGAGCACCCTGCGCCTCTGCAGACCTGTAGGTGGATTCACCTTAGAAACTGGTTTGAAGGAAGCAATACCGTGTTAAAGGGAGTGCAAACGTCAGTTACAAACAGAAATGTGAAACGTAAAGTCGCTAGAAAAAAAGAATAAAAAAAGACAACATTTTAACCAGGACGTTCAGCTCAAAAGCTGTAAGTAAAGTAAGTGTTAACAACAACAACAAAAAAAGATTTCTGTAGGCAAACACGTTCAAAATTCCCTTCCAAACCCAGTCTTTTTTTAAACTTTGGAGTTGAGCCAAGTTTTTGTTCAACGAAACTCTTTTGTAAGATTATTTACGGGAACTACCAGAGGGAAAAATACCAAAAATTCTGTTCCTCTTATCTAAAGCATATCAAGCCCGCCGGTGCCCTTAGTTTTAGGTTATACCGGTTTGTCAATGTCCAAAATTCTTGACATCTGCTATCCCCTTACCGGATTCACCTTTGCGTAAGAACAATTTCAAATGTCAACAATCTTTGAGAAAACATTAGTGTCCTTGAACTTACTTCCTGCTCCCTTGAACCAAAAGCTTATTCTGAATTTCAGTGGCCTTTGTTCTCTTGTACTTCATTGTAATTATTTAAAAGAACATGTTCTTCTGTCTAAATCCGGACACAGTCAAACGAAAACAACTTGAAATCATCTTAAATTTCTCAGTCCTTTTGAAGAGGGAAAGTGGCGGAAACAGGTTTATGTTAAGGCTTAAAAAAATCTTATCAGTCAAACATTTCCGACTTTCCCAAGACAAGCTTTCCTTGCAATTTGCCAAAATATACATTAAACTGCGCTGGGGAATTACAACCCTGACGTACTTCACGACACTATTGGGAAAGAGTAAAAACTCCCGGGGGAGCAGCTCCCGCCGAGTAGAGGCCAGCGTGCACGCACATCTCAAAAAATCCTCGTTCTCGTCAACTTTCCGAAAGGAGAACTGCCAGATCTTTTGAACAGTTCACCCCAGAAATCGAATACCTCTCAAGGCCATTTTATGCAAGGCTGACAACGTTAGGGACCAACGCTCGCGGCCAGTTTTCCGACTCTGGGGCTGCAGGGGTGGCCACTGCTGGCCAAGGGTTGCTTCCCGGTCGGTCCGGTCCGTCGGGGCACTCGGGGCAGCACCTAGGATCCCGGAAACCTCAGCCGCCCTTCTGGGAACCCGTAGGCGGAGGAGAGGGGGTGACGGGCCGAGCGCGGAGGCACGGGGGAGGGCGCGGGATCGGGCGCGCCCAGCCCAGCGGGGTTCCCAGGGGACAAACCCGAAATAGGAAAGCCACAGGACTGGGTCCCCTGCCAGAAGGGCCACCCCTCCCCTGGCTCCTGCCGGGCACCCCCCGCCCGAGGCCAGTGGGCGGAAGCCCGGGTCTGTGGAAAGACGCGAGGAGTGGCGGAGAGGGGCTCTCACGGCGACAATGCGCGGGAACTCGGCCTCGGGTCTCCGGGTCTGGGGCGGATCGGGCGCTGCCTGCACCGGCTCGAGCGCGGGGCACTCACCAGCCTGCCCACCGCCGGGGTTCTCCGCTCGCTCCGACCTGCCGCCTTCACTCTCCCAGACGCCGGGGAAGCGCGGGCAAGATGGAGGCCAAGAAACCGAAAGCCTGCAAGTGGACGTGGTGCTGGGCGACCGCTCTGCGTGGCGCTGCCCTGCCCACTCCCCCTCCGGCGGCCTCGGCTGGCCCCGGACTGTCTCAGTTTTCACCCTAAAAAGTTGAATACCTAGAGGTCCCACTCACCGGCCCCCAGGAGTCCCTTGATTTGAAATATTCTCCTACTCTCCAGGGAGGCTGCCACGCCGCCGCTTCCTGTTTACTCTCTGGGGCGTATATTTAAAGTAGTTCTAGGAGCTGTTATGGCTCGTTACCAATGGAAACAATAAACAGCAAAAGTGAAGGGGCTGTATGTTTTAACCTACTTATTCCTAATAACTACTTTCTTGTGACTTTTTAAAAATGTCTTAACTTTTCTTGAAGTAATTTTAAACTTACAGGAGAGTTGCAAGATTCAAAGCTAAAGGCATTGACTACCCGCATGACAGCGTGAAGAGCTGGGCGGGCTCACCCCGAATGAAACTGGTAAAGATTGTTTAGAACAGCAACAAACAACCACTTAAAGCCTCTGGAAATGGTCATAAGGGCAAACAGCAACTGAAGAAACTATTCAAAAATGTGAAAATTCTTTGGTAAGAAACCAGCTCCTGTGAGGTTTGCACCAGCACCTCTCCCTTCCTTCCCTCTCTCAGCTCAGCAGGACAAGACTCCACTCAGATGCTGCAGGCAAGAGCACAGAGCCTCCTCCCCACAGCTCCTGGTCAGTGGAACAGGATGTCAGCGTTTCTTTTTTTTTTTTTTTTTTTTTTTTTTTTTTTTTTTTACCCCCAACGTTTTTACCTCTCCATATTCCCAAAATAGTTATATTCTGATTTGGATTACATTAATCGTCAGTATTTGTGCTACTATAATCATGCAAACAATAGTTACGGCCAAGTTGTATACCAAACTATGATTGCTTTTCCTTTCTTGCATAACTTTTTGTTTTCCTAGAGTTAATAATTGTCCTGTTTTGTTGGTTTTCTATGTAATTAAATCCTAAACTCTACGTCAGTTACCCAAATCGTGTCTCACTCTATTGACGCATAGGTATATTACTAATTTCAAGTTCCTAGAAAAGTCATTGGACATGCTCCAATCTGGACTGGCCTACTTCTACACAGAGTACCCAGCTGTCATCCTGGCATCTCCCTTAACTATCAGCCTGACAATTCCCTTTATGTCCTTTTTGTGCAGATCTTCTGTATCATAAATCCCATGTCTTTCTCTATTCTGGTTTATTCCCTCGTTATGGCTCAGCAACATCCATCGGTAGCTTCCTGAGAAAAGGTGAGAACTTACAGTCTGCACATGCCTTTATTACCCTCCTTTTGGGCATAGACATTTTAGATTGGAAATTAGTTTTCTTCGGAATGTGGAAAGCATTTCCCCCATTTTCCTTTAGCTATTGGTGTTGCTATCCAAGTAGTCCAAAAGTAATTGTGGTTCCTATCTTATTATATGTGAGCTTCCCCCACTCTCCTCTTTAGAAGTACGTAGCATCTTCTCTCTGTCTTCAGTTTTCTGAAATTTTACAGTACAGTATGTGCCTTACATTCACAATTTGCATTCACTGTGCTGGGCACTCAGGGCCATTAATCTGGAATCACATCCTCCAGTTCTGGGAGACTTTATTTATTTGGTGGTTCCGTCCATTTTCTCTCTCTCTCTTTTTTTCTTTTCTTTTCCTGCTTTTTCTTTTCTTTTCTTTTTTTTTTTTTTTTTTAGGTATTGTGCCTTCTAAACTTGTGCTGTATTTCTTTCCTTCTATTTTCCATTGCTTTCTCTTTCCTCTATTTTTCAACCTTCTGTTGAGGATTTTGGTCATGTAAGTCCCAGAATTAAGAATTATAAGGAAGTTACACTTTCACTGAAAAAAAGAGTTGAATCTTGTTTAAGATGTGAAATGCAGGGCCGGCCCGGTGGCGCACTGCTACAGTGTGCTGCTTGGGAGCGCGGCGCTCCCGCTCAGGGTTCGGATCCCACATACAGACCGGTTCCCGCTCACTGGCTGAGCGAGGTGCGGGCACAACACCGAGGGTTGCGATCCCGTTGCCAGTCCCCGTCCGGTACGGCGCGACACTGAGGGTTGCGATCCGTTGCCGAACACGAAAAAAAGACAAAAAGGAAAAAAAAAAAAAGATGTGAAATGCAAAACACATTCAGAAACGTGCAAAAAACATAAATATACACTTTAATGAAGAATTATAAATCAAACATCCAAGTAACCCAAGATACAAAGTAGAAACATCTCAAAGGGCTCCTGTGTGCCCCTACTGCTTCCTTCTCCTAGAGGTAACCACAGCCTAACTTTGAAGATAATGATTTACTTGACTCTATAAATTTTACCACTTATGTATGCATCTGTAAACACTATAGCTTAGTTTTGACTGTTTTTAAACTTTATATTAATGAAAACTGTATTCTCTTGTGTCTTCCTTTCTATGCTTAACATTATGTTCATGAGACTCTTTGTGCTATGTGTTGGTATAGTTCATTTATTTTCATTGCTGTAAATTATGAAATTCTTAGGAGAAACCCTTTGCAACCTAGGGTAGGCAAAGATTTCTTAGACAGGACATTAAAAGAACACTAACCATAAAAGAAAATATTTATAAATTGGTCTGTATTAGTCTGTTTCTGTTGCTTATAACAAAATATTTAAACTGGGTGATTTATAAAGAAAACGAAATTTATTGCTTACAGTTTCTGAGGCTGGGAAGTTCAAGGTCCATCTGGTGGTGGCGACAGTGACCAGGGGTCTCACATTGCAAGATGGTGGAAACAGAAAGAGCAGGGAGAGAGAGACAGACTCTCCTCTTCTTTTAAAGCCCTCAGAACCACACCCCTGACCACCATTTTTAATCCATTCACTACTGCAAGGTCCTACAATCCAATCACCTCTTCAAGGCTTGACCTTTCAATTACCATAATAGGATTTCTCACCCTTTTAACAGTCACAGTGGGGTATAGGGATAGACATGGACCTTCAGATCCAGGAGGCTCAAAGATCCCCAAACAGATTCAACCCAAAAAGATCCTCTCCAAGACACATTATAGTCAAACTGGCAAAGCTCAAGGACAAAGGCAGAATCTTAAAAGAAGCAAGAGAAAAGTGTCAAGTCACCTATAAGGGAGCTTCTATCAGACCAACAGCAGACTTCTCAATAGAAATTCTACATGCCAGAAGTAAATGGGATGAGATCATCAAAATAATGATAAAGGGCCGGCCTGTGGCTCACTCGGGAGAGTGTGGTGCTGATAACCAAGGCAACGGGTTCAGATCCCATATAGGGATGGCCGGTTTGCTCACTGGGTGAGCGTGGTGCTGACAACACCAAGTCAAGGGTTAAGATCCCCTTACTGGTCATCTTTTTAAATAAATAAATAAATAAATAATGATAAAGAGATCTATCCTACAAGAAGACATAACAATCATAAATATATATGCACCCAACACTGGACTGCTAGTACGGGAGTACTCAACACTATTAAGCCTAACTAAAGATATAGACCCCAATACAATAATAGTGAGAGACCTGAACAACCCTCTGTCAGCACTGGACAAATCATCTACACAACAAATTAAGAGAGAAACGCAGGAGTTAAGCTACACTTCAGAGCAATTGGACCTGGCAGATATCTACAGAACATTTCATCCTATAACTACAGAATACACATTTTTCTCATCAGCACATGGAATGTTCTCCAGGATAGACCATATGTTAGGTCACAAGTCAAGCCTCAACAAGTTTTTAAAAATTAAAACAATTTCAAGTATTGCTTCAGAGCACAACAGATTGAAACTAGAAACCAATAACAAGCAAAACTCAGCCAACTATACAAGCACATGGAATTTAAACAACATGCTCCTGAATGACCTATGGGTCCAAAAAGAAATTAAACAGGAAATCAAAAAATTTCTTGAAACTAACAAAAGTAAAGACACATCATACCAAAACTTGGGATACTACAAAAGCAGTACTAAAAGGGAAGTTTATTGCAGTAAACACATCAAAAGAATAGGAAAACTTCAAATAAACAACCTAATGCTACAAGTCAAAGAACTAGAGAAACAAGAATAATCCAATCCCAAAAATAGTAGTCAGAAAGAAACAACTAAGATTTGAGCATAACTAAATGAAATAGAGACCCAGAAAAGAATACAAAAGATCAATGAAACAAAAATTTGGTGTTTTTTTTTTTTTTAAATACATACATGTGGAGTACAACATTGATTTTCAATAATTGTGTAGAATGTGTGGTGGTTAGGTAAGTATAGTTAGCTTATTCATCATTACAATATGCAATCATTCTTTGTGTCTGCTGACCAATTCCTCGTTAGACCCCCTCTCTCTCCTCTCCCTTTCCCTTTTCCACCTCCAGTTTTCTAAAAGTTCAATGTATTATTGTGATTTTGTTTGTTTCTTTCTTTCTCTGTCTCTTTTTATTGTTCATTTGTTTATTTATGGATCCAGCTCCCAGTTATGAGTGAGAACATGAGGTGTTTCTCTTTCTGTACCTGGGTTGTTTCACTTAGAATAATTTTATCCAGGCTCTTCTACTTTGCTGCAAATGGTAGAATTTCATTCTTTTTTGTAACCGAGTAGTATTATGTTGCTTTGCCCCCCATGGATTTGTCACCCCACTTCCCCTGGCTGATGGAGCCACAAAGGATTACTCAAAGCCCATCTCTTCTGAGTAGTGAGAAGCCCCAAAGTGGTTAACTTCCCTGGAACCCTCAACAGAGAGGCATCCCTTCCTTGGGAAATTAACCACAAATTGGGGTTCTCTTCCTGCATTTATTTTCCAGACCAGGAAGTTACAGGAAGAGACATAGGTGCAGTTTTTGCTAAGTACTGTTTAACAAGTTTAAGAATACAGGCTGGTAACATTCAGTAAAAACAAGTCAGATGACATTCCCTTAGACAATTAAGTGATCCACCAACAAAGGCTTGATCTAGCAAACTTTCCTTCTCCCTCCAGCAATTTTCCACTATCTTCGCATATCAATCAGTAACCTTTCTGTCCTTGAGCCAGCAACCTTGCTATGTTAGAAACCTTTATCTTACATCAGAGACTTTATAGCCTGAGGAAAATTTCCTGTCCTTTGCGAGGTCAATATTTGAAACTGCAAGGCTTCGGAAAACCAGGCCCTCTGAAGTACGTATGCTTTATAGTGTATCCCACACCTTTTTGATATTCATCATAGCTCACAGACCTCATAGTT